GTGTATGTGAATGGAAAAATTTGGATATTTAAAGGTAATTAACATTGAGAAAACTATGACTGATAAGAATGGTTTGAATACAGAGGGGAAACTAAGCTTAAAAAGTATCTTGAAAACAGGATATATAATGACAATAAGATGACTTTTATAAATATAATTGAAATATAAGCGGATCAGAAAGGATGTTATATGCCGATGCTATTGTTATTTGCACAAACACACAAAAATATTTATATTCAACTTTGTATATATTGAAAGTATTAAGAACTATATTTGCTTAATGTTGATAAAAGGAGAATACTATTGGAAGAAGAGAAGATTAAAGAAATATATCATTAATTAACAGATTGATTATGGAATTATAGAAATTAATTACTGATTGTTTTTTAAACATATGAACCCAGACAACATGCTGTTTACTAAGTACTAAAATTGTTATTGTTAAAAATCAATAAAATATATTTTTAAAAAATATATCTATAATCAGCCTTTCTCTGCATTCACTCCTCCTTCCCACTTCCTCCTTATTTGTTTGTTTGCTTATTTATCAAATATATATGGTCACCCATCTCACAGGAAGTGACTCTGGGTGGCATACTACAATTCAATAAAACAGTAAATATATAAAGCAATCATTACCCCAAACCATTATACAATAATTACTTTTAAAAACTATAAAAGCAGAATTAAAACAGAAAAAGAAATTGAAGGGTTTTTAATAACTTGGCCACCTCATGTGTTCTCCTATCCCCTAGGATTAAAAAGTCTTGGAGTCGTTTGTTTTTTAATTTCAATTTTGTTTGTTAAGAAAATGGAGGCTATGATGCTGAAGTTATATGCAAGCAAGTCTTCCAAAGATCTCAGGAAAACCTGGTTTTTTCCATGAATTGATACTGCACTGCTCAAGGTTGGTTATGCTCAGATTAGATATAGCCAGTGATATTTCCTAAGTCCCTTTCTCATTATTTTGAAGAGGAATCATCTGATAATTGATATCAGGAAAAAAAAAACAGAACATAGCACTCATGGGCAGCATGATAAATGTAGGGTTCAAAACAATGAATGTAAGTATTTTTGACCAAGAGTAAGTGAGAATAAGTAGTTGGGTACAGGAAAACAAATAAAAGATTTCTCAAGACATCTCATTGTATATTTTTCCCACCTTGGTCTTAATTTGCCTATGTCACAATTTTTAAAAGCTATATACAAAATATAAATTCCTTGAGTGAATTTTTGGTAAGTTTTCAAATAATATGATTCTGGAAATACGTGTTATTGATAATTATATATTTAGGTTCTTGCAGATATACTGTAATACGTTGTTATTTGTCCTTGATTCTGATTTGCACTGTAAATTCAAGCTTTATATAAAATGGTTGAATTTGTATTTTGAAAGAAATTTTTCTGTAAGTGTCAGAAGTACTTTTTCTGGAAGTAATTGCTTATCTTGTAAGTAACTTAAACTATATCCAATTTTTTCATGTATAATATTTGCAGTGCTGTTTTAATTATTAATATCCATTGTTTCTTATACAAATATAATTGCTATTCTTTTAAAATTTAATATGGAGTTAATACTGATTTCTAGTAAATTGACAAACTCTGTGGGGTATTTTATTTGCTCACTAATTATTAATTGCTCCATTCACATAATAATTGTCAATTTTTACCACATTGGTGTGATTATTTATGACTGTAACTTTCTCTCAAGCCAAGACCACATCTGTTAACTGCAGATTTCTTGGGCAGAGCATATACCTTGCTTGTTCCCTCCTTCCTATATCCTTTTTCTGCAATGGATCTCATATTTTCCTTTCCATTAAGTTTCAAAGCTACTGGTTATTACTCACTATTGGATGCCAGGAGAATCTTTAGTCAGAATTTTCCTGTCACATTCTTTGACAGTTCAATGAGAGGCTATTAATTCCATATATGAGGCTTATGCCCCTAAACTAATATTCTGAATTTGCAGATTAATATATCCAAATTGCAGTTCAATATATCCAAATGTTTCCTTATTATTAATGGTCATATTTGGAAACTCTGTAAGTTGTCCTGTAAGGTATTGCAAAATATTTCATCATGGAATATTCTGGAGTCAAAATGGACTATTCTAAATACAGAATAGATCTTTCTAGATCCAAGGTTTTAAAACTCATTTAAACACAGGTACGGTGAAGGCAATACAAATCTTCACTAGTCTTCTAATATATGGTCTTCAGAGGCAGTTATACTGTCACCAAGGCTAATTGTTACTGAACCTCATTACTTCCATGAGTTGGCTCCACCCTTTTGTGAAACCAGCATACATATCACAGTAGTGAATTCCAAAGTTTAATTACATGTTGGTTGAATGTGTGAGTAGATAGTCACATAGATAGATTTGCCTTTCTGTTCAAGCTCATCTTCACATCCACATCTACAGATAACAACCTATAAACAAATATTTTTTTTGCTTTACATAGCTGCATAATAGCCCCCTTAAAACAACACTTTCACTTCCTTTTATGATGCAGAAGTCTTTGAAGTTGATACATTGGGATTTTCATACCAACATCCACAGAATTGAAGTTTACAAGGCTTTTGCCAAATGTAACTTATCAGCTCTTGTGAGATGTAACCCATCTTATGCCAGCAGTCTATCAATGAGATAACTAAAAGCCAAACTTTTTCTTCAGTATCGTTTCTAGAACTAATTTTTATCTGTAGTTTTCTGTTTTCTTTTTCCATTTTTTCTATAATCTGAAAGGACAGTTGAGTCCCTACATTTTTGAGGTTTCTTCCTAGAATTTTAAAGACTATGGTGATACATCTGTAGTTGCCCTTAGTAATATTACTGTTACTACATATATTAGCAGACAGGTTCACTATTACTGGAATTGTTATGTTCTGAAAATTATATTATTAACTCCATAATTACATTTCTCACATTTCATGTGTCTGTACTTTCTGTACTTACTGAAAGTAAGTACCTGTATTTTCTATTCCCTGTGGAATTGATCCACAAGTGGAGTTAGTTCCAGAAATGATACTGATGAAAAAGTTTGGCTTTTAGTTATCTCATTGATGGACTGCTGGCATAAGATGGGTTATATCTCACGAGAGCTGATGAAATTACATTGTTTTGCTTTCATATTTTGACCCATTCTAGGTATATTCTTTCTGTGCTTCAGGGATATTCTTGTCTCTTATTCAGCAATACTCCTTTCCCCTGAAGAATCAGAGCCTACTCCTGAATTAAGTGTTTTCAGAAAAAGCTTTTTTCTCTTTTTTAAATTAAAAAAACAATTTGTATATAACTTTATTATTTATTACTGGTAATGCGGGAGGAAAAAAATAAAAGGCATTGCTAACACTTTTACTTTAAAATTTGATACCTTTCCAAGAAACATAACACCAAAGTTATCATCAATCTGAGAAGCCCTATCTACAAAATACTACTTTTAATAAAGAATTGATCCTAGAAACTAATCATTTCCAAAGGAATAGATACAACATTTTATGAGATTATTTACTTAAAATAGTTATATTTAAAATATCAAAGTGGATTATCTATATTCTAGTTATTGGTAGTCTCATATGGACTACCAATATAAGAACAGGAATCAGATTACTACTTTCTAAAAATACACATAATAGCTTTAACCTCTACAACAGGGAAAATATCATTAGTATAATTTACTTTCTTTCTTCTACAGAGGACGTGGACATCTGAATGCCCTTACACTGCATGCAGCCTCCCTGTATTTGTAGATTGTGCCTCCAAAATTCACCAGCAAAAGAGCTGATTTTTTTTGTGTGTGTGATTTCTTCTCAGAAAATAAGATGAAAAATATGTTGGTGGTCCCTGACCACACCAATCCCATTCTTAAAACAACCAAGCCCTCTAAAATGGTCCAAAATGTCACTCAGAATTGGCCACTCTACTGTTAAAAGTCATAACTTGATATCAAGCTATTTGGGAGACAATTAGGAGCTTTCTAAGGGATGAAAATGAAATAATTTGCTTTACAGAAACTTTATGCGCCAATTCTCTTTCTTAAAATGTAAATCCCCAAAAGTGGGTCATACACCATCAGCTCTGCTCCTTTTTCTTTACCACCACTCTTTTGGTATCATCTGTGGCCTTCATCATGTCATGAGAGCAAATGATAGCATCTGTCCCAAGAAAAGTCACCAATTCCTGTTATGGTCAATACTTACTTCAGAATAATGACTAAAGAGATAGTATAGAATATGTCAGAATTTTTTTTTAAAGAAAATAGTGTGTGGTACAAAATATCTAAAGCAGCGGTTCTCAACCTTTGGGTCGCGACCCCATTTGGGGTCGAACGACCATTTTACGGGGGTCGCCAAACAACGCGATCCGCCATTTTTTCCCCTCAGGGGGCGGCGCCGTGCATGCGCGCTATGCAGGGGGTGCACTGCGCATGCGCGTCGCACACAGGGGTGCACCGCGCATGCGTGCCGTGCTGCGCATGGGGCACCGCCGCACATGGGGGCGGCGCCGTGCATGCGCGGCGCGTCCTTATGATCGGGGGTCGCCGTATAAAAAGGTTGAGAACCACTGATCTAAAGGAAACTATATTGGAGGAAAAAAGGCTGATTTCTAGTTGTCCAGGTACAAAATGAATAATCCCCCTCTATGCTGACCACAGTACTTGCCAGTGCTTCTTTTGTAAAAAAAAAAAAAAAAAAAGTGCCGGAACTCACACACATCATACAACCCACCTACCCTACAAGGTTCCATCCAAAAAAGGTGCCGGAACTCCGTTCTGGGCGTTCTATGAGAAAAAAAGCCCTGGTACTTGAACATAATAATTCAAATCTACAGCCAGAAAACTTGGGGAAGGAGGAAACTCTATGGCATTATCAAAACACAGAATCTTTACAATAGATGGAAATGTATAACCAAATTACACAAATATACACGCTATACAAATAACAGACTGAATCTTAAACAAATTGAATAAATTGACTTGAACTATAAAGAAAAATACCAGTAATGGGATCTTCCGAAATTTAGCCACATCTTTCGATTTAACAAATTCACAAGGTGGTAATAATGTCTGCCAGCTAAGTTTATCTCTGAGTCTCAAAATATGCAAGACGGCATCATCATTAATGGGACCTAGAACAGAACATAAACCAATCAGCATATACTATAAGCATGACCTCATAACTCCCCAAAGTTATACTTAAATGTCATGAATTTCAACAAATTATGATATTATAAGTTATTAAACTGTACAACACAAATGCTTCCCCCCTCAAAACAAAACTGGACACATAATTTCTAATATTCTTTAAAACAAACTGTAATACATATTAATCTCTTTTCTTTATTTGGAAAACATAGAAACCAGATAGTTAAAAGGAGAAACAAGTGTTTCTAGCTCTGATAATGAAGAGGAAAAAGGTGAAGGAGACTGCATGAATTTTGTTGAGCTCAGTTGTATCACATAACTTAGCATAAAATCTGAAAGTAACCATTAGGTTATGTCAATATAGGAAGGTAATATAGTGACTTTTGATCTTCAGATACATGTTTAAATATCAAAGTATATATAAGTGTGAATTTCATCATAGTCAAATTATTAAGAATTCTGAAGTAATCCATTCTTCAGTTATGGATAAGGAAAATATTTCCATCCTGTGCCATTCTGGAGATGGGGTGAAGATCTTAATCAAGTAGCTGGAGGCTGTGAGAATTTGAAAGGAAGAAACAGACTTGGAATGAATACTAACAAGAAAAAAATCCAATTTATTCAGGAACCTTCTAGTACCAAGATAATTCAATATTTAGTTCTGAATAAGATAGCATTCCATCTCAAGGAGCTGATGGACAATTTGGGATCCTTCCTGGACTTCCAGATCTTGATAAGCAGCATATATTCAATCCTTTGGGCAGCTGATTTACCAGTTGTGGACATTCCTAGCATAGAAGATTCTTAAACCTTATGGCTTGGACTCTTGTTAACTTTTGAAATTATCTACACCAGATGGAATAAGCCTGCCTAATATAAGCAGGCTGAGAGTGCACACTGAAGATTCCCAGCAGGTAATGAGAATATCAACCAGTTATATCTTGCCCATCGTGAAATAGTTAGATCATTCAGGAAAATAACAAAGATTGAGCTTTCAGAAATCTTTGCAAAGTGCAACACAAGTTTGAAAGCATATATAGTGAGCTGGATGATCAGATGACCAAGCATTAGGTGGTTGCTATTTTATTATTGTAATTTTATGCATTTTTAAAAATATCTTATAATTCTAAGTGCACCTATATGAAGTTTGATGTAGTAAAGGTGCTGGCCCAGAGGTCAGGAGACTGAGTTCTAGGCCTCCTTTAGGCATGAAAACCAGTTGAGTGACTTTGAGCCAATTACTCCTTCTCAGCCTAACTCATGTAGCTGTTCTGGGGAAAATAGGATGCAGGAATATTAGGTATATTTGCCACTTTGAATTGAAGCATACAAAAAAGATGGGATAAAATAATAATAAGCACCCAATGAGGCACTACTTTTATGTGGTTGTGGTGCTTGTGTGCTCTGAGGAAGATGAGAGCTATACAAAAAGTTTAACCATACTGGAAAGTTCTCACCAGAGGAGCCACATGAAGAGTATCTCTCCATAAAAATATGGTGAGACATAATTTACAGAAACCTATAATGGCTCAGTCATCAACTGGCCAACAAGAATTATGCTAGCTGTTGCAGTTCCTGGACATTTGGTGAAAAATGGGCTATAGGACTCGGGACTGTAGCTGAGCAACCAGGGCCAGCAGTTGCAGAACTACTGGAAGAAAAGATGATTACTTGTTGTAAATATACAGAAATTGCAAAACAAAGAAATAATGATCTATTATTACAGATCAAGTCCAACAAGAAGAGGATATTTGAAATTAATGCATCAGTTCTGTAAAGAACAACGTTCAGAATCAGAAATAACAGAAAAGAGGCTAGTAGATCAACATCAATTTATAATATGAAATAAAGTATTCACAGAAGCATACCTGGAAGAATTGCAAAGATCTACTCAGGGCAAAGAAATCAAAGCCTTGCTAGAAATAACTCAGATTGTAGAGACAAAGCTTGGAGAGTTGGCAGTAGAGGAAGCATACATATAGATTTATTTTCATTCTGAAACCAAGCACCCTCTACTCTGCCTCAAAAAGAACAAATCCCTATAACTAAAGAAGTAAAAGTTGAAACAAAGAATAACTGAGCATCTAGAACAGGGCTTTTCAACCTTTTCACCCATTATACCACTTTTAGGATATGGCAATATCTGAGTACCACCAGTCACCTAGCAAGGTGTCAAAAACTTGATGACCCCCCCAAAAAGGAAAAAAGTGATAAAGTACAGGTAGTCCTCGACTTACAACAGTTTGCTTAGTGACTGTTCAAAGTTACAATGGCACTGAAAAATGTGCCCCCCAAGCCACAGCTGAGCAAGACACCTGCCTGCCCGCCCAGCGACGCTCTTCCTCCTGTCCGAGGTTTTCATTGTTGGATCATTTCTGTTGGGGATCAGCAGCGGAAGTGGGGTGGGGGGGTGTTTGGTTTTTATTCCCCCCCATCTGCTGGGTGGTTGCAGCAGGTTTTGGTCACTTCACATGACCCTGGGGCACTGTGACCATCATAAATATGAATCAGTGGCCACTCATCTGAATGTAAATCACAAGACCCTGGAGATGCCGCAACACTCCAGCTGATCAGCGCTTCTTCTGGGCTCAGCAAAAGCGCCAGGATCAGTGCCAAGCTCCAGCTGGAGCCTGGCACTGATTCTGGCGCTTCCACTGAGCCCTGACAGCCCCGAAGCGCCGATCAGCTGGAAAGCAGCACTGATCCTGGCGCTTCCACTGAGTTCTGACAGCCCTGCAGCTCCAGCCGTCTCTCGCTCAGGCTTGTGCGTTGCTGCCACTGGTTCAGCTCATTCCCCTCCCCTGCTACCACTTTTCTAGGATGGTCGCGTACCACCTGCCAGGTGCCAATGTACCACAGGTGGTACCAGTACCACTGGTTGAAAAGCCCTGGTCTAGAACAGCACAAAACAGTAGAATAAGGTTGACTGCTTTGAAGCTTGTTCCAAAGAAACAGCTATCACAAGCATTGAATGATGTAAATATTGTAATATCAAATATAAGCACCAGCTTATTGTAAGAAACAAACCAACTAATGTACAATACAGCTGCTATTATAACTGAATACCTAGAATGCAAAATCAACCAAGTAGAAAAAAATGCCAAACAATGCATCATGAAAATGGAAGATCAAGTTGGAAAATAAGATTGACAAGCTGAGATCAGATGCAAGCAACCTAGAACAAATGAAAGGAAAGAAGCTGAAGAACAAGGAGACCAAAGAATACCTAATCGAGAAATATCACCTAGAAACAAGGAAGATCGAGGAAGCACTGGAAATAATAAAGCAGTAAATGACAGTCAAGAAGATCAAGAGATATGAAACTCAAATTGCAAATTATAGGCAGAATCTCCAATTTCATTCAATCAGAAACATTTCTACCAATCTATCAATGGAGAGAATGCAGTGAAGTGAACACCTGGCAAGAAGAAACAGTGCAGTTCTAGGTGCAGATATAGGATAACTCAGAAAAATATAGCAAGAATTCAGCTTGGTTAAAGGAGGTGGATAAGTATAATGAAGAGGCTGAAATGAAAGATCTTGTGATAACAGCATAAATAGTTGAAAAAAGAACAAGGAAGATGAAGAATTGGTCAGCTCTAGGTAAGGATGAACTGCATAGTTTTTGGTTGAAACATCTAACTGGTCTACATCCATTGGTTGCCAAGCAATTTAACTGCAATGAATGAAATTGAAGAGTGGCTAACATTTGGAAAAACCTATCCAATAATAAAAGGTTTAACCAAGAGGCAGCACCAGGCAACTACAGACCAACTACCTGCTTACCAACAACTTTCAAATTACAAGGTACAAGTACAAATTAGGCGAAACCTGGCTCAAAAACAGTAACTCTGAGAGGGATCTTGGAATCCTAGTGGATGATCACTTAAACATGACCCAGCAGTGTGTGGCAGCAGCCAAAAAACTAATACAATCCTTAGTTGTATAAACAGAGGCATAGAATCAAAATCACATGAAGTATTTAGTACACTTTATAAATCCTTAGTAAGATCACACATGGAATGCTGCATCCAGTTTGGTCACATTACAAAAAGATGTTGAGTCTTTGGAAAAGGTGCAAAGAAGAGCAACTAAGATGATTAAAGGGTTGGAGACAAAAACATATGAAGAACAGTTGCAGGAATTGTGTATGGCTAGTTTAGAAAAAAGAAGGACTAAGAGTAACTTGATAGCAGTATTCCAGTATTTGAGAGGCTGCCACAAAGGTTAACTTATTTTCCAAAGTACCAGAGGGCAAGAGAAGAAATAATGGATGAAAACTAATCAAAGAGAGGAGCAACTTGGAATGAAGGAGAAACTTCCTAACAATGAACAATTAACCAGTGCACTGAAGTTAGGATACCAGGAAGGTTTACTGAGTACTGGAGAAGTCAAACTGGCCTACAAGAAAAACAAAATGAAGAATAGAAAAGCAACAAGGCAAGGCAAAGTACTACATGGGCAATACATAAAACATAACAGGCAATTAATAACAAGAGCTGGTAAGAGCTATGAGCAAGGAAGTTGAAGAAAGAGACATTGAGGCTAACTGTGGCTGCACAAGGTCAAACCTTAAGTACAAATGCATACAAAGCCAGAATTGAGAAGACAGCAACAGACAGCAAATACCACTTCTACAAAGAAGTTGAAGAAAAACAATGGACAACCTGGTTAGCTAATGCAAGAAGATAACACAAACTGACCAGAAACAAGGGCATGACAAAGTAGCAACAATGGTGCACTGTAAGAACTACAAGAAATACCATTTACCTGCAAGCAAGAAGTGATGGGACCATAAAATAGAAAAAGAAGAAAAGAAAATGAAGAAACTAAAATGCCCTGGGAACTATAGGATTTAAATAGATGGGCACCTGCCACATAACACTCCAGACTTAACAATTGTCGATAAGAAAAATAAAAATGTCTAGTAGTAGAATTGGCAGTGCCTGGGGATAGCAGAATAGAAGAAAAAGAACTGGGGAAGATAACAAAATACAAAGACCTGCAAATAGAAATAGAACTGTATCAAAAGAAAGAAAAGGTAGTACCAAGAGTAAGAGACCCCTTGGGTGCAATCCCAAGACAACCAGACACTTGAACACCATCAGCATTGACAAAATAACCATCAAATGCACAAGGCCATTACTTGGAACAGTTTACATCCTGTGATGACATCTTTAACATCATCAAACATTAACATCTGCCAATCCCAGGTCCTTGAGGTTTTGATAGGTGGTTGACTGCGCAACAAACCACATTTTTAATTGATTATGTACTATAAACTTATTTTCAACTCCCTATGACCACACATATAGAATTTAATAACAAAAGATAAAAACTAGAACATGTATCTCTCATAGGTGACATTTTTAATATTGCTGGCTTCAGCATATTTGGCTTTTGATGTACCTACCAGTTTTATCATATGAAGGAGACTTTCTCACCCTGAAAGGTTTGTGTTCACCACCAAATTGAAATTTCATGCAAGTCCTTGTATGGCAACTTAGCTGTGCTGAAATAGCTTGACTCTCTGTCTTTTTATCTATAACAGAAAGTCAATATAATTTCATAATCATTGTGCTAAGCCAAAGACTAGAAAATATTTGTTATCTAAAATCATTATCAGTCTTGCATTTAATATTCTCTTTATTGTGTGGGGTAGAATCTAATACTATTATCTTTTAGCATAAAACCACAATCTTTATGGAAACATATGTTTTATGTACAAACAGTTTGACACAATTATTGTATCTAGTAAGCAACAAGTCATTTGATAAACAGTTTCCCAGATAGTTATAGCAGTGGTTTCAGAAGGTTTTGCACAATTTATTAGGACCCAAGAGTTCCTTGCACCAATTTTAATATTTTATCCTCTTAATCCTGTTTTTTCATCTATTTTATGTTATCTGCTTCTCTTCTATTTTACTTTCTTCCTCATCTGAGATCCAAATCCAGAACAGAATTTGTGACAGAATAACTCCAAATACCTCTGATTCTGTAGTCCTGGACAAAATTGCCCACTTTTTCACATGCATTATATGGGCTACCCTTGAAGAGCATCTGAAACTGGCGCAAAATGAAGCTGAAGGGGCAGTTATACATGCTCCTCAATCAGCATATATTACACTATTGCTCCATGAGCTGTATTAGTTGCTGGTGCTTCTAAATTTAAGATGCTGGTAGTTACCTATAAAACCATTCATGGGGCTTGGTAAACTGTCTGTCCCTCTGTGTGTCTACCCACTCCATTATAACTGGCAGGAGAGGCATGTTTCAAGTCTTCCCTATTAAAAAGGAGCCGCCTAGCCAGGATCCCAAAAATCTTTTCTGTCCCCATATTGGACATGGGGAACATCACCAACAGATTGTCCTCAACTCTCTAGGCCAGTGGTGGCAAACCTAAGGCACAGGTACCAGAGGCGGCACTTGGAGCCCTCTCTGTGGGCACACGTGACAATGCCCCAGCCTTTCCTCCTCCCACGACCCCCTCCTCTCCAGCAGCCCCCCTCAAGAGTCGCCCTTGAGCGTGGCCCATACGGAGCAGTGCAGCCAAGGACATGGCAGCCAGGCAGCATAGACAAGGCTCTGCCCTCACAACCCCTCATGCAGTTGATGTTGCAGAGTGGGGGCAGAGTGTGTGGCTGCCATAGCACTGCTGGGCTGCCTGGGCAATCTGTGGCGGGCCATGGAGTCGGTGAGTGGTCCTGTGGGCAGGCGGGGTGGGGGATGAGGGGCAGAGTGGGAGTGAGGCAAGGGGGTGGAGCAGGGGTGGGGCCAGTTTTTGGGCACTCGGTTTCTAAAAGGTTCACCATCACTGCTCTAGGCCTTTAAGACTTGGTTCCAGTTCGCGGCATCACTAGTCGCACGGAGAGACTTCTCTCCTTGTCGTCTAGATTTCCCTCCGTCGGTGGACCCTTATACGGGTCCAAAGTCACCCTGGAGGGTACGACTTCCATCGAGTAGGCTGCTGTTCGGCTGCGGAGGAGCAGCGGCTCCTCCAGCTGTCCGGATGAATCTCTGAGGACTGACGGAGAAGATCGGCCAGTAAAATGGCCGATCGCCCTGCCGCTTCAGACTGAAAGTCAGACAACAGCTAAGCTTTGACTGCCCCCTTGGTGAATCCGGGTGAGAACTGTTTCTTGTAACTCTCTCTTTTTTACTTTTTTTGTTTGGGCACATGTAAGAGCTTTTGGAATTATTTCCCTGGCTTGGACAGGTGGCTTCTGCTTTTTTGGGGGAAGAAAGGCGTTTTATAAATACTGAAAAAGACTATATTTTACTTTGATATACATTTTATTTGGATACTAAAAAGGAAAAAAGATGGAAAAGATTTTCTCTGTCCTCTCTTTTTAAGAACTGTATTATTTTTCTTTTTTATATATATATTACTTTAAAGATAGAAAAAAGGAACTGATTTTTGGAAAAGACTTCTTTTTAACTCACTGAGGGCATCTAGTGGTGACAGTTTAATACTGCAACTTCGACTTATTTTCCTACTGAATCTCAAAATAGTTTTGAGGGAAAGCTGTGCAGCTGTGGAAGCTGTAGGGGGTGGGTGTTGTTTGCATTAAAGATAGCCTCCACAAAAAAGAAAAAGAGATCTTCTTTTAAGCATTAGTATTAAAATGGAGAAATCTCAGCCACAACTGAACTGTGCACTTATATTAGAAAAGATCTTTGAGGCCACTGCAGAAATATGTGCTACATTTAAAAACTGTACTTTAGAATCAAGATCCAGAGACTCTACTACATTTGTTCAAACTGATGTTCAGGCTACAACTGACTATGGTATAAATCAAAATGTACCAGAAGAGGAATCTACAGAGATAGAAGAGGAACTTATTTCATCTGACAAGCCTCTCTTCAGCAACTTAGAGAATCAGAAGAAGCAAAGATTAAGATTTCAAACTACAAAGCAACGACGCTACAAGGAGAACAGAAAAAGATGTTTACTGCAGAGGAAGGGATTTATATCTCTTCAAAGATTACTAGAAGCAACAAGGATGGATTTATTGGTTGAAAGGGAAAAAAGACATTTACTGCAAAGGAAGGGATTTATATTTTCTCAAAGACTAATACAAGCAACAGTCAACGCTGCAAATATTGTATATTCTTGCTTTTGACAATATGTAGAATTGTCTGGTAATTATGGGGTTAATAAAGAACAGAAGGAGGGTTGGGGGTAAAGCCCGGGAAAGAAAGAGGAAGACAACATTTGACCTTCACATAATTGGATAATGTGAGATATGATGGCTAATTTAGGGAGGGCACATGCTGATAATTTAACTGCTCAGAGGAAGAGAACTTAGATCCTAGCATCCCTCTGTTGTGCCTGTGCCGATATTTTGTAACAATAAAAGACTTTTAGGAAAATAAATGCCTGGAAGTTCTTTGGAATGTTTCATTAGCCGGAACCACAACATCATGCTAGGATCTCATATTCTTTTCAATGAGGTCCCGAGCCCCATCCACTATCTCTATGCTTGAGAGGAGCTGGTAAAGATTCAGGGAAGATCTCATTATGGAGAAAGAAAGATTGCCTAAGGCCAGCCCCATGGCTGCAACAGTTTCCCTGGGGGGGGGGGGAAAGTGACAGCCAGAAGCCGGGGGAGAGAGGAATTTGGCAGATTTCCCAGCTGTATTTATGCAGTTGATTAATCAGGTTCTACATGATCACTTGTACAAAGGGGTTTTGGTGTATCTTGATGATATCCTGATATACAGCACGAATATGACTGATCACATAAAGCTAGTGAGACAAGTGTTAAAGAAACTATTGAATGCCAAGCTTTATGTCAAATTGTCAAAATGTGAATTTCACCAAACCCGATTAGACTATCTTGGTTACCGAATTTCCAATGAGGGTATTGAAATGGATCCAGCCAAGGGGAAAACTATAATCGAATGGCAGCCCCCAAGGACTTGCAAACAGCTCCAGAGCTTTCTGGGTTTTGCCAACTTTTATCGTCAATTCATCCCTTCTTTTGCCGAAATTGCCCTACCTCTTACAGAACTACTCAAAACAGGCAAAGGAGGAGGGAAGCCATGACCGGGCCAACCACTAGCATGGACAATGGGCTGTCAAACAGCTTTTGAGAATTTAAAGAGACTATTTGCTTCTGAACCGGTTCTGAAACACCCCTGCCCAGGGGAACCCTTTGTGATTCAAGCTGATGCCAGCGATGTGGCAGTTGGAGCTGTGTTACTGCAAAAGAACAAAAATGGGATCCTGCAATCCTGTGCCTACACCTCTAAGAAATTTACTGAGAGCGAGCGGAGATGGGCAATCTGGGAGAAAGAGGCCTTCGCAATTAGATGGGCGCTATTAAACTGGCGACACTATCTGGAAGGGAGCAAAGTGCCATTTGAGGTATGGACAGATCACAAAAACCTAGAAGTACTGAAAACTCCCCGCAAATTGTCACCAAAGCAAGTACAGTGGGCACAGTACTTTAACCGCTTCAACTTCACTCTAAAGTACATACCAGGAGAAAAGAACTTCCTAGCTGATGCGCTATCCCGGTTACCCCAGTACAAAAGCGAACAAAAGCAGGTTAACGAGGCGATTATTCCCAATCCACAAATTGTCGCTCAACTTACACCTCGCAAGGTCCCCAATCCTGATGACCCTGGAGCGAAGAAAATAAAACGAGAGCTCCTCACCGACCAATGGTTCAAAGATAATCAAGCGTCCCTAACAAGCAGGGATGGCTTGGCTTACAAAGGGGGGAAACTATATTTGCCAGAAGCACTCCGTCTTAATGCTCTCAAACACAGCCACGATGTAAAGCAGGCTGGACACTTTGGATATTTGAAAACCCTACACCTCCCCCACCGGCAATTCTGGTGGCCGGGGCTGAAAAAGGATGTGGAAAACTATGTAAAAAGTTGTACTGTATGTGTGCCACAATGAAAAGAATCCCGGGGAAAACTCCTGGGTTACTGCAACCTGTGGCAGACCTTCTCAACCCTGGGAAGAAATAGCTATGGACTTTATAGTAGACCTACCTGAAAGTAGGGGAAATACTGTCATCTGGACTGTAATAGACCTCTTCTCGAAACAGGCTCATTTCATCGCCTGCAAAGGACTCCCATCTGCCCAACGACTGGCCAAATTGTTCCTGAAACATATCTACCGGCTGCATGGCACCCCTAAGCAAATAATTTCAGACGGGGGTGCAATTCACAGCAAAGTTTTGGAGAAATTTCCTTACATTGATTGGATCATCTCAAGGGTTATCATCTGCTTTTCATCCGGCCACCAATGGGGCCGCAGAAGCTGCTAACAAAATGGTGGAGCAATACCTTAGATGCTACATTTCTTACCAACAGATGAACTGGACTGATCTCCTCCCTTTTGCGGAGGTGGCGTACAATAATTCTGTGCACAGCAGCACCGGCTACACGCCTTTCAAAGTAGCCACAGGGAAAGAATTTAACCCAATACCTGAATATCCTCAGTTTCCCTCCGCTTCCCAGACACTTGATCAGTGGGTGAGAGGGTGGGAAGAAGTTTGGAAAAACACAAAAACTGCTTTAAAAAAGACTTTTGAAACCTATAAAAAGCAGGCTGATAAAAAGAGGGCTCCCCAAAGAACTTTCCAAGTTGGGGAAAAAGGTCTATCTGTCAACTAA